AAGAGTGTACAGTGCCTGCAAAGACACGGCAGTAAATTCAGGCTCAGCTTGCCCACGGCTGTTCTGTGCAGCGCCCAGAAGGGAGAGCTGAAGCGGTCACTCCAGCCCCCAAGTCACTGAAAGTGCTGAAATGCAGAATTACCTTGAGCAAAGAGACTCCGTATCCTTCAAACCTTCCTTCTGCCCTGGGACTTCTTTCGATCTTGGACCACAGATTAGCACATGGACATGCCCGAGTCCCAGAGGAAACACTGGCTGCTCAAGTCCAGCACCCCAGCTTGCTGTGGCTGGTCCAGCATGGGGGGGGGGGCAGGGAGGGTTGTGAATGCACAGACGTAGGTGAGGGGGCTGGGAGGGGCACAGGAGACACGGCAGGACTGTTCATCAAACCTGAATGAGGGAGCCCCTTCTCTATGCGCCTCCTCCCACGAGACAGATGGGGACAATGAGGTCAGAAAGCAGAAGTATCTGCCTTGTACCAAGGTGAGGCAAGAGCTCATCTGGCTCCAATCTCCTTACATACGCTGGTGTGTGAGCTGTCAGAGCAATGGATGAACACCCACATAATTATTAGTAGAAATAGGGGAGTCAGGATGGGACCAGTCTGAGGGAGGTGACGTTAAGTTCAGTCCTTACCTATGTATAAGTGACATCTCTACAGTGCTTTATAGAAGGTTTATTGAGGGGCTACATCCTGCAGGCAGTTAGAACTCAGGTCTGTAATTCACAACAGAGATTACGGCTAAAGATTTAGATTTGGGGACTGTTTTCTTAGAAGCTATCCTGAAGGCTCTGCAGCTACCTTAATGAGATCTCTGAGGCTAAATCTTGTGGAAAGGCTGAGTTTAGGGGAGTGGGGAGCAAGAGAAGGTAGCAGAAAAAGAGCATCCTAGAAAGTACGAGAACCAGGAGAATGAGGAGTGCTGGAAGCAGAGGGAAGAGAGTTTTAAAACTTTCGTTCTTTCAACTCTAGATGCCAGCCCTATATAGGCCCCAGGGAAATAACAGAAAACAACATTCCCGCTTCCCCGCCCTTGTGAAGCTTATGTTCTACTGAGACCAAACATACAAAGAAAGAAAATAAAAAATGTAAAAGATTACAGATTTTGATGTGATAGAAATAAACTGGGGTGAGGAGTTACTCAGGGAAGACTTCTTGGAGGAGGTGGCATTTGGAAACTAGTAAGTTGATTTACCCCTTCCCTGTCCTAGTAGTCCTTGAAATTTCTCAACATTTGGTGGCTGTTCCCAGCCTCTGGGTGGTATTATCTCTACCACCCCATCTCTCCAAAGGCAGGCTCTGCTTATCCTAGGCACTGGCCCTGGTGATCGGTTCAGGGATGGGCACATGGCTGAGGCAGGCCACCCAAGGAGATTCAGGAATCTGGACAAGAATTTTAAATTTCCAGGAAGCAGATATCTTCTAGATTTGTAGCAGGAAAAGGGAGTCTCAGGGGCTACTGGTGTCATCTTGGTACCATGAGGGTTGTTCCTGCTCCTAGGCCTGGGAGACAGAGCCCTGGGAGGGCAAGAGAGAAATGGAGTCCTGGCCCAATGTAGAGCCCTACAGTAAGCCTCACCGAACCTGGCCATGAGCTGTCCAGTTATTGGAGCCAATCAATTTCCTTTCCTACTAAAGCTCATTTGAGCTAAGGTTTGTTACTTGCAACTTCCAGGCAGACTTTCCGAAAGCCAAGTGCAGCGGCCCAGCATCAAAGCAGGACTTACATGTTTGAGGGCAGAACCTAAGCTAGAGCCCAGAAAAGCAGGCGAGGATGCCTGAGGTAAGGCCACACTAATAGCTAACTCACCAGGTTTTCCTCCCGTGCCAGGCATTGTTCTCAGGTGTTTACCTGCATAATGTCACTTAGCTTCACAAGGTCGCTGTGAGGTAAGTACTGTTATTATCCCCATTTTATAGATAAGCAAACTGAAGCACAGGAGGTTAAGTAACTGGCCCGAGGTCAAATAGTTAGAAAAGGCATTGGCCAAACACGGCCTTGTTGCCAAGGCCAGATCCTGCTGGGCTTGGTGAGCACCCGGGATGTGATGCAGGGTTGGGACAGGTCACGTGTCCAGCAGGGCCTAAGGTCTCTGAAAGGTGAAGGGGAATGAAGGCTGAAAACATTGGATTTAGTGACCGAGGGTCATTGGTGACCCTAGGGGTGACCTTTCAGGCAGAGTTGGGTGGAAGCCAGTTTTCAAGGCGTGAACGAGAGCCAGGTGAAGGAGGGAAACAGTGGGCAAAGACCATATGTTCTGTGAGCTCATCTAGAGGACACAGGTCTCAGCTACAGGAAGCAACAGGAAGCAACCTTTTAGTTTTCTTTTTCCTCATGATGGTGATACCTGAAGATGTGTGTGAGGCAAGATAATGGAGAGGGTAGACAATAGGCCCAAAGACCCCAGATGGGTCCCCTGAAGGACAGAGGTCCATGGCAGGCAGGAGAAGAGGTGATGGTCTGAGGGCACAGGGGAAGGGGTCAATCCCGGGCATGCAGAGGAGGGAAGTGGAACAGGACAGGCAAAGGTGTGAGCCACTGGCAGATGAGGAGGTACGGCACCAGGAAAAGCTGGAGACAAACGTGTTGACAGAGGAACAGCGGTGAGGAGCCACTGTAGACAGTGTAGCTCTGCAGCCGTTCAGCAAACCCGTAAACACCTGTGAGCATGTGCGTCGTGGGGCGGAGGTCAGAGGAGGAAGAGGCAGCGTGGGTGTCCAGGTGGTCCGTGTTGTCTTAGGGCCATCCCAAGGCTCCAGGCCATAGTCCTTCTTCCCTCTTTTCTTTTGAAATAAATTTGTTGTTGCTAGCCGCCGTTGAGTTGGCCCCCAGCTCATGGAGACCACATGCATGAGAGGATCGAAGCACTGTGATCCAGGGGGTTTTCACTGGCTGATTTTCTGAAGTGGATCACCAGGCCTTTCTTCCTAGTTGTCTTAGTCTGGAAGCTCCCCTGAAATCTGTTCAGCAACACGCAAGTCTCCACTGACGGGCTGCACTGGAGGTGCACTGGCCAGGAATGGGACCCCGGTCTCCCACACAGAATGCGAGAATTCTACCACTGAACCACCACTGCCCCCCAAATAAGTGCAGACTCACAGACAAGTGGTACAAATAGTACAGTGTTTCCAGGTCATATTCTGAACCCTTCCAGTTGGCCTTCCTTACTCACTCAACTCATTTTGCCTTCATGAAGCAAAACTCAGGCTATCTCCCAAGTCGTGAGCCTGTCACCCCTCAGCTTGAGAACTACACTGCACATTCCCGAAAAGCCACCCTCCTGGTCAGCTAAATACTACTGTTGACCTTGCATTCAAGGCCCTGTATGATCTGACATCAGCCCATCCTTCTAGCCATGTTTCCCCACACCTCCACCCCCACCTGCCAGCCCAGCTCCTTTCAAGCCCCTACACATGCCACTTATCTCTATCCCCAGAAGACTCTGAGTTCCCAGAGGAAAGGCCCCAGGCCCCAGGCCTTGGTGATTTTTAAATCTTCTGTGGTGTCTGGCAAACAGCAGACATGAAAGCCGTTAGCAGAAAGCTGGCACAAGCAGGACCATGAGAGACGGGAAGAGGTATGGCAGGGCTACCACGCTGACCACAGCAGGCCCAGGGCCCTGGGGCTGAGCTTCCCTAGGGTGGCAGACACTGAAGACAAACTTCAACCGCCCTTACTGAGCTGAGATCATCACCAAGAGCCGCGGCCTATCCCCTTCTCCAAAGAGCTGGAACAACCCACTATACAGCTGGGAAAACAGGGTGGGGTGGGGGCTTGTGATGGTTTGATCTGTCCTATACCCTGGGGGTTGGGGCTGGGTGATCACTCAGCTTCTACTTTCTTGAGTCACCTGGAGCCATCCTGTGAGGAGCTCTGAGCTGTCCCCATAAGGCTCCAGAAACTTCTTTCTTCCTCTGCATCTGCAGAAAGATATCAGAGTCCCAACCTTTTGTCTGGGAAAGACTTCCCCCGAGGTGGGAATCCTGGCCTGGCCACTGTGGGCTTGGGGAGTGAAGGTCCTGGTTCTGTTGATGACACAGGGGCACGAAGACTAAGTTCCTATCCTTCCAATGAGCGCAGCTCTGCAGCTGGAGACCTGGGCTGCTGGCAGCTAGGAAGATGCAATGCTGCCCCCGAGTGGCCATATGTCATAACTGCAGCTCAGCAACCCAGTCTCCACCTTGGAAGCCCCTCCAGACAAAGGAGCAAGGGCCCTGGGCAACATTGATCGGTGAGGCCAGGCATCCACCATCACCCTGGCTCTGAAGGCTTTATGTGCCCAGGCAAAAGGGAGGTGCCCGCTTTACACGACAAAAGGGCATTGAAGTATCAAAGTATCTCACACACACGCACGCACGCACGCACGCAGGCAAACCTCTACCTTTTATTCTGGTTTTAGAAATAAGGATACAGGTTCAGTGAGGTTGAGTCACCTACTCAAGACCATTCATCTGCTCAGCATCAGTCCTGGCCAAACCACACCGGTCTTATGCTAAGTTTTCACCTCAATAAGATGAGACAACTGGACACTGCCGTGACTCTTACTCCCACTACACATCAGTTACGCCAGGAACTTTAAAAATAGATCTCTCTCCCTGACCCAGACCTACTGAATGAGAATCCTGGGTATGGTGCGGGAATGTCTTTGCAGTCTGCTTCCCCAGCATGGTAAAGTGCATCTCTAGACTGACAGCTGGGAGCCAGTGGGCAAGACTGCCATCTCCCAATTCATTTTGGAGTCCCCCAGTGCTGGTTTATCAAAAGTGCTGTGTATATCTGTGAAATGAGCGAATGAATGAGCGAGTGATGCATAAAGGATGCTGATGTCCCCTCCAGCTATGAATGTGTGAGTCCTGCAGCACACGCACACACGACTGTGCACACGTGGACACCCATACGTACACGGGGACAAAAAGGGAAGCAGCCCACCACACTCCAGATGGACCTGACCACCCAGTACTGCCCGGCCCTCCCTCCTCACACTCTTGCACACACCTCTTCCTTTGTCGGCCTGTATTTATTGTGCACTCGTTGGGTGCATGGCTCAGCCAGAGTCCCTGCATGGCCCCAAGGGCCAGTCCCCAGCTGAGGGACTGGCTAACAAGCATCAGAAAGGAAGAGGCTGGCCAGCAGGAAGGCTGGAGAGGCAGGGCGTCAGCCAGCAGGCAGCCAGTGGGCAGCAGAGAGGCCCCCTCTTGGCGGACAGCCCGGCCGCACACTTGGCTGAACAGAGACAATGGCGGCCACTCCCTCCAGCCCAGCCTCCTTCCCACAGCAGAGGCTCCAGTCCTTGAGTCTCCGGAACCTCCCCCAGAGAACAGGCCCAGCTGGGAGACAGCCAGAGGGCAGTGCCCTGGGATTTCTCGGGGGAGGGCAGCTAAGCCCCCTGTGAGCTGGCTAGGGGTGGTATGAGCTGGCCAGAAGGGAGCCTAGTGCCCACGGGAGTGGGGCTTTTAGGGATGTGGGGTGTGGCAAGGGGGCATGGAGGGGTTTTCTCAGACCTGCTGAACCACAGGGGTATCCCAAGCCTGACCTGGGCCTCGCCTGGCCTCCCAGGTCTCCAACCCCCCATCCCTCCCTCACAAATCTCAGCTGTGGCTCCAGCCTGGGAGGACCCCACCACCACCACCACCACCAAATGTTACCACTTCTACCACCCTCCCAAGGGGTATGAACCTGGAGAACCTCTTTCCCTGCTCTGAGGAAACAAAGGCCCCTTGTTCCCAGGGCCCCAGGGCTCTCCACAGAGCTCTGGAAGCTCCCCACCCCTTCCAGCCCTCACTCACAGGCAGCCCTCGGCTCTGCTCTGTTGATCAGCAATTGGGCGCGTAAGGCCAGGGCCTCTCGCATCTGCTTGGGTTCATAGATGATTGTGGTGGAAAAGGAGCCGAAGAAGACAAAGACACATGGGGCCCCAGAGTCAGCCTCCCAGAGCCCTGGAGCTTGCTGAAGCCCTTGCCCCTGCCCACAAGGCTGCCCTCTTGGTGGGCAGGCTCTAGCAAGACAGGCTGGTTGGTGTCTACTGTGAGTCCTCTCTCCTGGGCCTCCCCTAGCAGGGCACCTCATTCCTGAGGCAAGACCATCCTCAGGGCTGCTGCTCTCCTAGTTTGACTTCCCAGAGGCCTCTGCTGCCACTGTGATCTCCCAGAAGCCCAGGGACCCACTTGTGCTCTGATTCCCAAACAAGGGCTGAGCTCCTCACCAGGCCTGGGAAATGGACAGCTCTGGATCGTGCCTAAGGAAGGGAAGCTGGCGGGTGAGATAAGAAGACCTCGGGAAGTGGAGCCAAGTCCTCAACTCCCTCAGGAGTGGCCAGGGCCTGGGGCAGCTGAAGGGCTCCATGGGGGAAAGGGTCCAGCAGTTTTGGGAAAGCGCCAGTGAGTGAAGGAATGAGGACCACAGGAAAACGAAGGGTTGTCCTTCCACAGGGAATCTGAGGACACGGGTTCCCTTCTAGGTGGGAAGGGACAGGTACCGTATCCCTTCTCATGAGCTCATTGAAATAGGGCCCCTCCAAGTTACACCTCAAGTCTACCCCAGAGCAAGGGCCAGTATCTGAGAGGTGGTGCTAGCTGCAGTGCTGGCTTCACAGCTGATTGCGGTTCCGCTTGGGGATGATCTTTCGGTAGGTTCTGCGCTCTGAGATGTTACGCTTCACCTTGGCTGTGGTGGGGGCCTCGTCCTGGTGCAGGGATGGGCTTGAGTGGGACTTCTTCAGGCTGGGCTTGGGCTCCCGGGTGCCTCCAGCTTCCCTCCCCAGCTGCTCCTCCCACGGGTCCAAGTCCTCAGTGGGGCAGTGTAGACGGGCCACCAGCAGCTGCACGTACGTCTCATAGCGGGTTTTCTGCAACACACAGGCCCACCTCCTTAGCACGCACCTGTCTCTAGGCAGGGAGGCAGCTGAATCGTGAGGGTCAGCTCACATCTGTATGAAGCTACGGTGATAAAGCCCTCTGCAGAGCGCTGGACAACAGCTTGTGTCTCTGGAGGGGCTTGAACAACCAGACTTTGCGGAGCACAATGGCAACCTATTATAACACTGTAGTTATCTGTATAGTATCATAACAGAGGTCAGCTCAGCCCTGTCTAATCAGCACACCTTGTCGTGCTGTAACTCACATCTCTATAACGTGCTCTATCTCCAAGAAACTAAAAGATGTGTAGCCCACTATACCTACGACCTATGCAGCACTAGACATAAGGAGCTCTCAGCTGTACTGAACCCTAACTGAGTCTGAATAAACCAAAACCAAACCCACTGCTGTCACGTTGATTCCAATTCATAGCAACCCTATAGGAGAGAGCAGAACTGGCCCCACAGAGTTTCCATTGAGTGGCTGGTGGATTCAAACTGCCAGCCTTTTGGTTAGCAGCTGAATGCTTAGCCACTGAGTCACCAGGGCTCCAGTCTGAAAAACATTTACTAATTAGCATCTGCAGCAGGCAATGCTAACTTGCCTCATCTGTTTAACACTCCTAAGGCATCCGGGCAGCCTTTGGCTTCAGTACCCGATTTGCAAAGTGCTTTCCCACCCTCCACCCTACTGGATACTCATCACAGCCCTGTGAGGTTGGCTGGGGCATGAACCACTGTCTCGGTTTTATGAAGAAGGAAGATAAGGTGTAGGGAGGGTCACAGCTGGTCAGTGGCAGGGAAAGGCTGGAATTCTGAGGGCAGATCCAGGTCCCTTTGGCCACACCTCAAGGCCTCTGGGAAGTGGTGTGCTCACAATCATGTATTCAACCAAAAACCCCAAGGAATAGGCAAGGAGCTTTAAGACAGGCCAGGAAAGGGAGGGAGAGGGGCCACATGAGGCCCAGTGGGCGGAGACAGGAATCGATGCTGACAGCCCCTTCCCTGGTCTCTGCCTCTGATCCCCTCTGTCCTCACACTGCACTTCACCAACCCTTCCTGCCCAACAGGCCACACCCAGCCCAGAGGATGCCCAGGACCCCTGAAGCGAGCACTCAGTCACAGAGTCGCTGAATGCACGCTGACATGAAGCCAAAACAGAATTCAGGCGTGTTTCTAGAAGGGGAGGGAATAAAACCTGCTGGCACCTATCACAGAGATGCCAAGATCATAAGATGGCCATTCCTTAGTTAAGAGCATAAAGGAGGCACATACATAATTGGAGTAGCGTGTCAATTTATCAGGCACGCAAGAGTGTAGTGGCTGAGCCTGTGTGTGTTCAGTTCCTGGCTCCTCTCCCCGCTGGGTGATCTTGGACAAGTTTTGTAACCTCTCTGTGCCTCAGTTTTCTCCTCTGTAAAATGAGGATAATAGTACCTAGCCATGTTGTGAGATAATTAAGTAAGATAGTCCATGGAGTGTGCCTAGGTTGTTGCTGGATGCCATTGTGTCGGCTTTTGACTCCTAACCACCTCTGTGACAGAGTAGAACTGCCCCATGGGGTGTCGTAGGCTGTCATCTCTACAGGAGCAGGTCCCCAGGTCCTTCTCTCACAGCACAGCCAGTAGGTTCACCAGCCTTTCAGTTAATAGCCAAGCAGTGCTTAAGCACCCAGGGCTCCAGCGTGTCTATACTACTTATTATTAGAATTTAGAATGTGGTTGTTCTATTATTTAGAATGTAACGACATAAGGGGGAATAGTCAGATAAAACACAATTTTTGTCTTTCAATTTAGGATGAGTAAAAAGTTAAATAAACTCTTAAGAGAAAAATAATGATAAAGATAACTTGTCCCCTCTGTTTCCAAATAGCTGCTTTAGGCCTCCAGGACAAAATGTAAAGGGGTTGCCTGCACACGAACACACATTTATGCATGCGCCTGCACACGTGTGCGCGTGTGTGCACAAGCATTTATGCAGACAGCTCACCCAGGCCCGTGTGAAGCACCTCTACCCGCCCTGCGCGTCGTGCTAAGGGGAGTGAAGGCTGCAAGGACGGGCGCAGCCACGAGAGGACGGGAGAGGGTCCAGCCGAGAGGCAGGGAGGCGGCTCAGGGCCGCAGGGCCAGGCAGAGGCCCTGGTGAGGGGCGAGACTCAGGCGCCCACCTCGTACTCCAGGTACTCCTTCCGTAAGCGGTACTCCTCTAGGTCGCGGCTGCGGCCCCGCCGCTCGGGTAAGCTTCTCTGCAGATCCAGCAGGTCATCGGAGGCAGCGTCCAGGCAGCTCTCATGGGATCGATGCTGCTCTTCCTGGGGAGCGGGAGGCGGTGGGGGCAGCTGTGCCAAGGGCCTGTGTGGCACGGCAGCCGCCCTTGCCTTGCGGGTTCCCCGGCCCAGGTGTGCAAACCACCTCCCCTTTATTTCCTCGCCCTGCCCATCCCAAGCCCAGGTGTGCACACCTCCCTCGCCCACCCCAACCCCGCCCATCCTCTGGCCCCGGTGTGGAAATCCCCACCCCCACCCCCCGCCTCGCCCTCCAGCCCCTTCCCGACGGTCGTACCAGGGAGCTCTGGGCCGGGCCCATCGGGAGGATGGGCCGCACGAATCGGCGCTGGGAGCCCACAGCGGCGGGGAAGGGTGGCGCCGAGTGCGTGGCGGCGGCCAGGTTGATGCGCACGATCCAGGAACTCATCTCCTTGGCAGTGCTGCAGCAGAGGAGATCTTTGGTGCCCAGGGCCACAGAGTCGGTCCTGTCACCTGCCCCACCTCCACCCCCAACCTCCTGTGATCTGCAGAGCCATCCAGACCCTCAGGTCACAGGCCAACTCAGAACCTCAAAAAGCCAGAAGCTCTGCCACTAGCACGGTGGTTGACCTCAGGGGGTTTCTTTCACATGTCAATGAGGAATATGCAGGAAGGCAACACACTTTACATTAAGTGCCCAAAACGATCCATTATTAGTGACTTCCTCTATTCAGAATGGTGAGGCGTAATCTGGGCTTAAAAGCAACACTTTGGTCCATTGGCAACGTCTGCCAAGGGCAGAGGAGAGGAGCAGGGGCATGCATGCTTCATATGTGCCATCCCTACAACCTCTTCAAGGAGTCCCCAGGTGGTGCAAATGGCTAACAAGCTCAGCAGCTAACCACAAACCTGAAGGTTCGAGTCCACCCAGAGGCACCTCAGAAGAAAGACCTGGGGATCTCTTTCTGAAAAACCAGCCACTGAAAACCCTATAGAGCACAGCTCTACTCCGACACATATGGGGTTGCCATGAGTCAGTCAGTCTACCACTCATCTGTCAGTTTGCTGTAATGTGGTGGCTTGTGTGTTGCTGTGATGCTGGAAGCTATGCCACTGGTATTTCAAATGCCAGCAGGTGGACAAGTTTCAGTGGAGCTTCCAGACTAAGACAGACTGGGATGAAGGACCTGGCGATTTACTTCTGAAAAAACTGACCAGTGAAAGCCTTATGAATAGCAGCGGAACATTGTCTGATATAATGCTGGAAGATGAGCCCCTCAGGTTGGAAGGCACTCAGAATACGACTGGGGAAGAGCTGCCTCCTCAAAGTAGAGTTGACCTTAATGACATGGATGGAGTAAAGTTTTCGGGACCTTCATTTGCTGATGTGGCATGACTCAAAATGAGAAGAAACCGCTGCAGACATCCATCAGTAATTGGAACGTGGAATGTACAAAGTATGAATCTAGGAAAACTGGAAGTCATCAAAAATGAAATGGAACACATAAAAATGGATATCCTAGGCATTAATGAGCTGAAATGGACTGGTATTGGCCATTCTGAATCAGACAATCATATGGTCTACCATTCCAGGAATGACAAACTGAAGAGGAACAGCATCACATTCATCATCAAAGAGAATATTTCAAGATCTATCCCGAAGTACAATGCTGTCAGTGACAAGGAAGACCAGAGCCCTGGTGGTGAAGTGGTTAAGAGCTCAGGCTGCTAACCAAAAGGTCAGCAGTTCGAATCCACCAGCTGCTCCTTGGAAACCCTATGGGGCAGTTCTACTCTGTCCTATAGAGTCGCTTTGAGTCAGAATCACCTTGATGGCAAACAACAACAAGGAAGACCAGTTAATACGACTATTATTCAAATTTAAGCACCAACCACTAATGCTAAAGTTGAAGAAATTAAATAGTTTAACCAACTTCTGCAATCTGAAATTGATCAAACATGCAATCAAGATGCATTGATAACTACTGGTGATTGGAATGTGAAAGTTTGAAACAAAGAAGGATCAGTAGTTGGAAAATATGGCCTTGGTGACAGAAACGATGCCAAAAATTTCATGATAGAATTCTGCAAGACCAACAACCTAGTCATTGGAAACACCTTTTTTCAACAACATAAACGGCGAATACACACGTGGACCTCACCAGATAGAATACGCAGGAATCAAATCGACTACATCTATGGAAAGAGATGATGGAGAAGCTTGATATCATCAGTCAAAACAAGGCCAGGCGCTGACTGTGGAACAGTCCATCAATTGCTCATATACAAGTTCAAGTTGAAGCTGAAGAAAATTAAAACAAGACCACGAGAACCAAAATACGGCCTTGAGTACATCTCACCTGAAATTGAAGACCATCTCAAGAACAGATTTGATGCACTGAACACTAATAACCGAAGACTAGACAAGTTGTGCGATGACATCAAGGACATCATACACGAAGAAAGCAACAGGTCATTAAAAAGGAAAGAAAGAAAAAACTAAAATGGATGTCAGAAGAGACTCTGAAACTTGCCCTTGAACATAGAATAGCTAAAGAGAATGGAAGAAATGATGAAGTAAAAGAGCTGAACAGAAGATTTCAAAGCATGGCTTGAGAAGACAAAGTAAAATATTGTAATGACATGTGCAAAGACATGGAGTTAGAAAACCAAAAGGGAAGAACACGCTCGGCATTCTCAACCTGAAAGAACTGAAGAAAAAATTCAAGCCTCGAGCTGCAATACTGAAGGATTCTATGGGCAGAATATTGAACAACTCAGGAAGCATCGAAAGAAGATAAAGGAATACACAAAGTCACTGTACAAAAAAAGAACTGGTCCACATTCAACCATTTCAGGAGGTAGCAAATGATCTAGAACCGATTGTATTGAAGGAAGAAGTCCAAGCTGCCCTGAAGCTCCTGTCCGGAGGTGAGATGACAAGGCAGAGAGGGTCAGGAGCTGGCTGAATGGATACGGGAAATCAGGGGTGGAAAGAAGTGTGTTGTCACAGTATACGGAGAGCAATCAGAGTCACATAGCAATGTATGTATACATTTTTGTATGAGAAACCAAGCTGCCCTGAAGGCACTGACGAAAAACAAGGTTCCAGGAATTGACAGAATACCCACTGAGATGTTTCAACAAACAGATGCAACACTGGAAGTGCTCAATCGTCTATGCCAAGAAATTTGGAAGACAGGTACCTGGTCAACTGACTGTAAGAGACCCATATTTGTGCCTACTGCAAAGAAAGGTGACCTAACAGAATGTGGAGATTATTCAACAATATCATTAATATCACATGCAAGTAAAATTTTGCTGAAGATCATTCAAAAACCATTGCAGCAGTACATCGACAGGGAGCTCCCAGAAATTCAAGCCAGATTCAGAAGAGAATGTGGAGTGAGGGATATCATTGCTAATGTAAGATGAATCTTGGCTGAAGGCAGAGAATATCAGAAAGATGTTTACCTGTATTTTATTGACTATGCAAAGGCATTCAACTGTGTGGATCATAGCAAATTATGCATAACATTGCGAAGAATGGGAATTCCAGAACACTTAATTGTGCTCATGAGGAACTTGTACATAGACCAAGAGGTAGTCGTTTGAACAGAACAAGGGGATACTGCATGGTTTAAAATCAGGAAAGGTGTGTGTCAGGGCTGTTTTTCACTATACTTATTCAATCTGTATGCTGAGCAAATAATCTGAGACGCTGGACTATATGAAGAATGGGGCATCAGGATTGGAAGAAGACTCTTAACAACCTGTGATACGCAGATGACACAACCTTGCTTGCTGAAAGCAAAGAGGACTTGAACCACTTACTGACGAAGATCAAAGACTACAGCCATCAGTATGGATTACGCCTCAACATAAAGAAAACAAAAATCCTCACAACTGGACCAGTAAGCAACATCATGATAAATGGAGAAAATACTGGAGGTGTCAAGGATTTCATTTTCCTTGGATCCACAATCAACGCCCATGGAAGCAGCAGTCAAGAAATCAAAAGATGGCAAATCTGCTGCAAAAGACCTCTTCAAGTGTTAAAAGGCAAAGTCATCACTTTGAGGACTAAGGTGCACCTGACCCAAGCCATGGTATTTTCAATTGCCTCATACGCATGTGAAAGCTGGACAGTGAATAAGGAAGACTGAAGAACTGATGCCTCTGTTGGTGAAAAATATTGAATATACCATGGACTGCCAGAAGAATGAACAAACCTGTTTTAGAAGAAGTGCAGCCAGAAGGCTCATTAGAAGCAAGGATGGTAAGACTTCATCTTGTGTACTTTGGACATGTTATCTGGAGGTACTAGTCTCTGGAGAAAGACATCATGCTTGGTAAAGTAGATGGTCAATGAAAAAGAGGAAGACCCTCAATGAGATGGATTGAGAGAGTGGCTGCAACAGTGGACTCAAGCATAGCAACGATTGTGAGAATGGAGCAGGACTGGGCAGTGTTTAGTTCTGTTGTACACAGGGTTGCTATGAGTTGGTACTGACTTGATGGCACCAAACAACAGCAACATGAGTTGGAATCGACTCTACCCAACTGGTATTATGACCTCTTCTAGCTGCAACATTCTAAGGTATTCTTGGTAAGGACAGTGGCTCCCACCATGGCCAGAGCCAGCAGGCATCAAAGGTGTGAGTTGGGAGTCAGAGGAGAGGAAGGCTAAGTGGGCACAGAGAGTCTGTGCTCTTGCTGCTTATCTCCCACCCCAGGGACTTACGGTGCCTGGAAGAGGTAGAGGCGCCAGTCGGCAGTACGCAGCTGGAAGACGTGTGGCTTCTTGGTGTAATGGGTGGCAGGGGTCGCCAGCGAATGGTGTACTCCCACAGGCTCGTCCACCATCTGCCCCACCAAACTCTCCCCCTCAGGACAGTGGTCCTCTGCCTGCCGTAGGGCACAGGGGCTCAGAAGAGGTTATCCAGTGCCCACCCTCCCAACAGTTGGCCCTTCCCTGTTCCCCACTCTGCCCCATTAGGGGTGTCCACTCCCTTCCTACCTTCAGGAAATAGAGCACCATCCCTCGCAGTAAGGTGTGGAACATCTTCCAGCCGCGCTTCCCCCAAGGTGCTGCTCCAGGAGCAGAAGACAAAGCTGGGTGGCCACACCCCCATTCAAACACAGTGACACACACTCAGACACACACATGGGCAAACATAGTCCCTGAGTCCCCACCCTCCAATGCCACCTCCAGTCTCTCACCAGGATTCACCCCATCCACATTTACACACACATATGCTTACCAACACAAGCTCATCCAGTCACACATGTACACAGTCTCTCCACATACAGGCAATCGTGCTTGTACGAATGCAGATGTTCATACAGACCACCCTTCCCCAAACACATGTCCGCAACCCCAAATGCAAACACACCACCCACAAGCACAGTTCCACCCAGACATCGTTCTGGCTCCTCCTTTGTGTACCCATCCAGAGGGGTTTCCTGAGGGCATGCATCCATCCCTGTGTACCCCACTCTGGGCACCAACTGCTAGGTTGCCCCTCCCCTGCACCCGCCTCCTCTCTACTGCCCGGCACCCTGGTCTTGTTTGGGGACCCATTCCTGCTCCTGAATCTAAGCTCCTTTGACAGAAGGCCTGATTCCCTGTGGCCACAACACCAGGGCCTGGCTCATGTCCCTGTAGCTTCTCGCAGATGATTGCTAATTCCCTTCCTGTTGCCACTCCCCCATTCTATCTACTCTATATCGTGAGTCCTGATTAATCTGCCTAGAACATTACTCCAGTCATGTTGCTGCCCTGCTCAAAATCTCCGGAAGGAGGCCCAAGCTCAGAACCCCGCATTGTGCCCCAAATGCACCTCCCCACCGTTCTGGTTGAGACGCCCTATGTTCTGAGCAAACTCTGTCTGCTCTTTCCTGTGTGGGGACGTCCTCTCCCAGCTTCGAGCATCCACACCCTTGTAGCCTTCCAGGCTCAGTTCAGACACCATCGTTTCCAGAATCCTTCCCTATCACTTCCCACCACATCCACCCCCAAAGCCAGAACCCAAACCTTTCCCTCCCCCAAACCCTCTCCTTTCACTGCAGACATTGGTGTACTCAGCTAATTTCTGCTGTAACCACAGGCTCTCTGAGGACAGGGAGGAACCACATGTTTTATCTCTGCTTTCCCTCCCTCCTTCCCGTACCTGGCCCATGTTCAGCACGCAGTACGTGCTCAGGAAGGAAGGCATGCTGCCTGGCCTCGACATGTGCACACGCCTGTCCTGTCCATTGGCACACACACACCCACACACAGCCACAGGGCAGCAGACACTCACTCTTCTTGCCATCCGCATCATGATGCATCTTCCGAGCCAGGATGCCCTGCTTGTAGGTGGGCACCGTGGGGTCCTGGGCCAGCTGGAGGAGGGGGCTGCTCATCTTGCCAGCTGGGGCAGACGGCCTGGCCTTCTCAGGTCTGGCTGCATTTTCTTCATCCCTGACATGAAAGAATCAGGCTGGGAGGACTGACTGGGCACAAGACCATCAGGAGGTGCCCACTGTCTCCCAGGGCCTCGTGCCCCCTCTTTTGCTAGGGATCCACACCCAAGGGCCCCCCAAAAGAAGTCAACTCTCCAAGGCAACCCATTAATTCCCTGACTCACAACTATACCTACCCCCTTGCTACCTCTGGCTCCTCCGGGTAGTACCTGGGCTCCTCCACCCTTCTCTGAGATTGGACCAGTGCCCTGCTCCAGGCCCCGAGCCACTCAGCTGGGAGCACTATCCAGGGCCCTGAACTGCTCCAACTCCCAGGTGAGCAGGTGGAGGGAAGACAGGCCCAGAGACAGGACTCTCAGCTGGACCGAAAGAGGGCCAGGAAGAGAAGGGAAGGGCCCGCACTTACACAGCCCACTCGAGCTTCTCACTCCGGATAGACCAGTAGAGAGCCTGGAATAGAAGCACACAGGTGGGTAGGTGAGCCTAGGGCCTGTGAGGCCCCCTCTGTTTGGCAGAGGTAGAACCAGGGCATGTCTACAGCCTGCCTCCTCCAGGACCCCCAAACACAGCTGCCCTTCTGCCTTGAGCCAGGGAAGCAGCTCATCCATCTATTCCTCCATGCAATACATTATTTATGGAGCATCTGCCATGTGCCAGGCACTGTGTTGAGTGCTGGAGACATAAAGATGATCAAGACAACCCTAGTTCCTGCCGGAGTTTAGTGAGGCCTAAACCACAGGTAGTCCCCTTCTTACAACGTATTTGTTATGATGAACCACACTTACGACTGTCGGGGATTTTTTTGGTACATCTTATCATTAGTACTATGACATATACTACATATAGTGTTGTGGTACATAATTTGCTGATGTTATCATTCTCAGATGTTCACTCACAGATGTTCAATTTTATGATTTATTGTTCAAAACACTGTTGTATAGATTTAGTTTTCTAAACTAAATCAGGGGCTTCAGGCAGTTGAAAACACGGACCCAAATGCTGATTGCTTTGCTGAAGTCAATAGGCAGATTCGGGAAGCAGTGAAATGTTACCACGAGGTATATGAAGAAAAAAAGAAAGGGGCCATACAAACAACTCTTACTAATTTTCTGACTAGAAACGCTATCCCGATTTCCAGGGATAATCCAGATGATCCAGAACCTTCCACAAGTGGAGTTATTACCACAACTGACAAAATGCCAATGTTGGCCAACAATTCTTCATTGTCGGAGTAAATTTCTATGATTTGTGTATTTTTTTATGTATGTACGAGTGTATTAAAATATATCTGTAAGTTTATATGTAATGTTTACGACCTCTAAAGATAAATAAATATCAGATTTATAAAGATACTGGTAATAAAAGGCAATAATAACAAAAACTAAAAAAAAAAAAAATTGAGGTATTTGACTTATGTCAGAACCGACTTAGAATGGGGTCATCCATTGGAACAGAACCCCGTTGTCAGTCGGGGAATACCTGCAGTTATCTTGAAGGGAAATAAATTACCCGCACACCACCCTGCCCGGAGCGATCCGACAGAGAAGGAACCAGCTCACCGACCCCAGCAATAGATGTGCAGTGAATAAATGAATGGATGGATGATGTGCCATAACTCGGAAACGATATAGGAGTATTGATGTATACTGCTTGTTTTTGTAGCCTTCACAGTACCTAGCAAGGTGCCTGGCACAAAGTAGCTGTTCGATACATGTTCCCTGGATGCTGCAAATGATTAATGCACTTGGCTACTAACTGAAAGGCTGGAGGTTCGAGTTCATCCAGAGGCACCTCAGAAGAAAGGCCTAGAAATCTGCTTCCAAAAACTCAGCCACTGAAAACCCTGTGGAGCAGTTCTACTCTGACACACATGGGGGCACCCTGAGTCGGTGTCAATTCAAAGGAAACTGGTTTGTTTTTCTTAAGTAGATGAAAGAACAAATGATGTGATTGCCTATGGAGAGCATGCTGTGGTCCAGGTACAGTGCCGAGCACTTGGCAAACTATTTAACCTCATCAGCAACATTGTGAGATGGCCATGCCCCCATGAGGAATGTGAGCTGGCCAAGGGAGACGTGGCCAAGACAAGGACTCAGACCCAGGAACACCAGGCTCCCAAGTCTGAGCTCTAGACTTGCTCCACTTGGATCTCTGCCCTTTGTTCACTCAGAAAACAATAAGCCAGTGCTGCTCACACTTCAGCAAGCCTAGGAAACACCTGCAGCCCAATGAGTCTGATTCAGCAGGTCCAGGGCAGAGCCCATGAACATGCATTGCTAACAAATTCCACAGGGTAACTGAGGCTGCTAGCCAGGGACCACACTCTCAGGAGCCCTTCAACAAGGCCAATGCATCTCATTACAGCCACCACCCATCTGTCAGTGGAGGCTTAAATGTTGTTAAGATGTTGAGTAAGTTTCAGTGGAGCTTCCAGACTAAGACAAACTAGGAAGAAAGGCCTGGTGATCTTCTTCCGAAAATCAGACAATGAAAACCTTATGGATCACAACAGTACAATCCTCACCCAATCACGGGAATGGCCCAGGACCAGGCAGTGTTTTGTTCCATTGTGCATGGGGTCACCCTGAGTCGGGGGCCGACTCCACAGCAGCTACAACAACAACATTCTCTCCAGGATATTTTCGCAGAGCCAGGCCAGAGCTTGGCATTCCCCTGGGGACAGGGAGCCCTGGGTCCAGAGCCCCACCGTACCTTCAGCAGCTCCTTGGAGAAGTTCCCGCCATCCCGCAGGCCGTTCAGGTTGGTGATGAATTCTTGGCAGCTCATGCTTTTCCCAATGTTCTGTAGCCACAGAGAGAAGGGGCAGCTGTCACACCTCACCCCAATCATATAAACTCCCAACCCCTCAGGAGCCCTCGCCTATTCCCCACGCCCACACCCCCAGGGCCCTTCCCTGACCCCCTCCCAGGCCTCTGGTCTTCTCTTCCCCTCACGCCCACCCCTGGACTCTCAACTCACCTCCTACAGCTACCCCTGGAAATTCCCAGGCCCCCCACCGCAGCCCCTGCCTCAGCTTCCACAGGACCCTCTCCCCACCCTCTTACCTGTCCATGCAGGTCCGTGTTAAGGAGCATGATCGCACAGGTCAAGGTGTGCACAGAATCTGCCCCACGGGAGGCCAGAAGAGAAGAAGCTTGTTTGGAGTCACGACTGCCGCTCTTCCTCTGCAGCACTAGGCTGGGGGACCCCAGAACGTTTCCCTTCCCCACCCCAACACACGTACGCCACCACCACTGAAATACCAGTGAATGCCTGAGCAAACACGGAGGACACACTTCTGTCCATCTGTCTCCCAGGCACCCCAAAGCCCCTGCCCTGCCCCCAGAGCTGGCCTTTCCCTACCTACTGAGGAGAAGACCCCGGGATTGCAGTGGTGAAAGCGCTTTGAGAACTGGTAGAGGATTCGCTCTCGCTCCTGAGTCTCTCCACTGAGCACTAGGGCCTGGAGGAAGCCCCTGGGAAGGAGGGCCAAAGACAAGCAGAGCCCAGGCTGAGAGGGCCCTGCAGGCCCCAGGATCTAGGGCTTAATCAGGTCGCTGCCTCAGGCCTGGTGCCGTGGCCCTGTAGCCATTCCTCCCCCATCGTCTCCCTAGGGAGGGCCCAAAGGTGTTACCGGAGGGCACGGTCCAGGCTCTGGCCTCCAAACTGGAAGAAGGACAAGTACTCCTCAGCCACAGCCCTGCTGAAGTCATTGCTGCAGAGGAGAATGGGGGTGAAGCCTGCAGCCAGAGACCTGGGTTGCAGGGCACGGGTGCAGAGGGGCCCCCAGGGCCTGCACATATCATGGGGCCTGATGGGCAGACTGGGCAAGGAAAAGGCACAGCCAGGCGGGGTCCTGGGTCCCAGGAGGGTAAGGGGGCAGCCAGGGTCCGGTCTGTAGCTGGCACCTCTCTCTAACATGGAGTGGGAGAGACATGTGGAGTCTGAGGTGGGTAAGGTGGCAGGATCCAGTGGCTGTTAGCAGGGACCAAGGGCATGAAGAAGAGGTGATACAAGTGTGGCTGAGAAGAAGTAGGGATGGAGAGGGATCAAGGAGAAAAGGGATGAGGATGGGGAGGGACTATGCAAGAATAAAGGGGTGAGAGGTCAGTGATGGGGCTGGAGGGAAACAAGGATGGGGAGCGTGGCCAGGGGAGGGGCTCATCGCAGCTCCTCTGTGTCCTGCCTCAACCTCCAGCCTCACTCAGGCTCAAGGCCCCTTACTTCTTCTGCAGGTAGGCAGCCACTTCAGACTTCCGGAAACCCTCCAGGTGATAGAGGCGTGAGGCCAAGTTCCAGGCCACCTTGTCGGTCCTGACGCCATTAGCCAGCTTGTCTCCAGCCTGTGGCCTCTGGCCTTCCTCTGGGGACTGTACTTGGGGCATGGGGTTCTCAGGAAGCCTGGAAGAGTCCATTGGTATTCTCAGACTCCCACAGGTTCTCAATGCCACTTAGGCTAGATACCCAGGGGTCCTGGGTCAAGTGTCTTTGCAGGTCAGTCATGGAAGGGCATCCTAGAGTCCACGCCCAGAGCTCAGGATCAGAGCTGAAGCTCAAGGCCTTGAAAGGTAGGGGAGGAACTGGGCCCAGAGCCTCCCCAGGGAAAAGGCAGAATCAAAGCCAGCCTGACCCGACCTGGCCTGGGCTGGGAACCAGGAGAACCCAAAGTGGGAGGAAATTCATCCAAGGTCAGTAAGGTTTGAGGCCCAGCTGGGTACTCAGTACTTTCTCAGGTAAACCACAGGGGTGTTCCAAGCTTATTTCACCTCAGATGGGGGGTGCATCAGCCTTTTGGAGACGTACATTGGTGTTGAATCTCACCCAAAGTGGGGTGGCATCATCTCCCCAAACTTCAGCAGGCATTTGTTCATCTTTCTCACCTATCCTGCCATCCTCATAATGCTTCCTTGCTCCCTTCCCACCTGCCACTTACAGCTCCAGTCTCTATTCCTAGACCTGGAGCTCAGAAAGGTGTAAAGACGGGGCCAAGAACGGGAAGCTAGAGTGGCTTCAGGGATGGTGACAGCTGGGGGAGGAAAGAGGGGGCTTTCAACCTTTCACATCCCTTATCTAGTAGCTCTGCAGTAAAGTAACTCCCTTACCATGAGGGGATGGGACGGTGACAAATTACAACTGTCAACAGCCTCAGGGAACCCCCGGCAGAATGAGAAAACACTCAGAATCTCGGAAGTCACCAAGTCCAGCCTCTAGCTGACTCTTCTGTTTCCCCTGCAACATCATAACCAGGTCTGGGATCTTATAGTTACTTGAATATTTATTATCCAAGTTACCACAGTTATGGGTATCGTGCAGGCAAGCGAAAGTCATCAAAATATGAAAATATTCACTAATAAACTGAGCACTTATAAAATTAGACTTCAGATGAACAGCCCTCTCCCCTTAACACGAATGTCTGCTTCTGCTGATAACCTCTCACTGCTTCCCTAGGCTCATAAACATCCAACAATGCAGGGCAAACATAATGAAAACTGAAAAGACAAATCTTGCAGGAGAATTTCATGAAGTCCATGAAAGTGATGCTGTAAGAAGGCGCCCTAGTGGTGCAACGCTTAAGTGCTCAGCTGCTAACCGAAAGGTCAGCAGTTGAAACCCACCCAGCAGCTCCGTGGGAGAGAGGCCAAGCAATCTGATCCTGTAAATATTATAGCCTAGAAAATCCTATGGGGCAGTTGTACTCTGTCCTGTTGGGTTGCTATGAGTCAGAGTCAACTTGGCAGCACCTAACAACAACAGTAAAGCCTTGATTAAACCTTTTTTCTTTATTTATTATGCAAGTATGGTTCTCACTTTAGGTGGATTTACTTACTCGTTTTAAGTTAGATTAACTTTAACTTCTAGTATAATGCATGTCTCCTTTTTAGATTCTCAGAGGCTTCTCTGGTTACCAAACCTCCATCGGAACAGCTCCAGGGACAGCGCAGCTTCCCAGGTGCATGAGGGAGATGGTGCCTTGGCTTCTGGTGCTGACTGATGCTGGGTCGCCATCACCCAAGGATGATGAGATGGGAGGGGTTAGCCCTCCAGGTACTGCTCGTTAGGTCCATAGCCTGAACCACCCCGGTTCCTCCTAGTTTCCTCAGTACCCCTATTTGGGCAACCAGATAATGAAACCCCCTTCCCAGTGTAGAGACCTCCGAGACCGCAGCCTTGGAGCAATAGCTTGGGGAAGGAAGAAATCAAGTTTGGTTTCCCAGTTGGCTCATTCCTATCTCTGGCCACCATTCTAGGGTTATTCAATCCTGCTGTGGGCCCTGGGGTACATTCCCTGGGTTCCAATAAAATGTTCCCCTTATTGCTCCCCTGCAAGCCCGGCCAGCACCCTGGCCCGAAGCTCTTTGGTGAATTTCTCCCAGACACCTCCTCAAATTCGAAGCAGTCCATAACCCCCACGTCACAAGCTCTGACCTTCCACTCCCCAAACCTGCCTAACACTGCTACGATTTTTCTAAGCACATGGCCCTGGTCAGGTTCTCTGAACACCTTCTCCTCTCCCTCCTCTCCTGGTCTCCTGCCTTAGGCACTTCCCATGTGGCCCCACCTGAGCACATTCCAAAACTGTGTCCAAGTGTGTGACTGTCTGCTCTGTCATTTCTTGTCCTTTCAAAGCCTCCAGTCTTTCTCAAAACTCTGCTGATCCCCAGTCAAAAAATCCTGGCTTAGTAAATGTTGTGAGTTGCCATTGTGTAGATTCCGACTCATGGTGACCCCATATGTCCAAAGCAGAACTGCTCCATATGATTTTCAAGGCTGTGACCTTTCGGAAACAGATCACCAGACCTTCTAAGGCACCTCTGAGTAGGTTTGAACCACCAACCTTTCAGCTAGTAGTCCAGTGCTTAACCGTTTGTGCCACGCTGGGACTCCTGTTTAGTGAATCTTAGTCAAATCCCAGTGTGCATTTCTCATGCTCCATCCAGATCAGATTATTCTTACACGCATCCATAACTAGAAGCCAGATAGCCACTTAGTCTGACACTTACCCTTCTGTAGAAGTCGAGTGAATGTCCAGCTGGACAGCTCTGGCCTCTGCAGTTCTGACTGTGTCTTCACTCTTTACTTCCTCCTCTGAGCTTGGGGCCTCCCTTGCCTTCTCTTTCTCCACGGAACTTGGCTCTGCCCCATCTGTCTCCAAGAGTGAAAGGTGTGAAGCACTAAGTGTCCTCTTGGGGACGATGCTACCTGAGTGGTGGCATGGCAGCTGGGGGCTCCCCTCCTGGGAGGACACAGGGCTGGGCCAGGGGCCAGGACCTCGGCTCTCAGACTCTGGGCTGCTCAGCTCTGGCGAAGAAGCTGGGCTCCCCCAGGGGCCAGGGACCAAGGCGCAGGTGGCAGAATCCTGCAGATGCTCAGCATCACTCTCACCTAAGGAAGAATGTGGGGGCGAGGCTGACACACAGGCGGGAGGCTGGCTGTGGGTCAAGGGGACTGGCAGAGCCAGGAGAACGGCCTGGACTGCCACCTCCAGAAACTCCCCCCCCCCCCAGGACTCCTCCCCTGGAGCCAGGCAGCATGTCTTGTCCCTCCCTCAGGCAGTGACCTCTCCCACATGTGGAGGCGGCAGGCAGAGCCTCCCAGGACTCCAGCCCCAAGGCAACCAGGGGTTCAGGACTTTCGTTGAACCACTAAGAATTGGGCATCAAAAATGCTAGTTCTTTTATATGTTTTTGCATTTGCACTATAAGATCAGCATTTTTATACCTGTTTTATGGATGAAGTCACAGAGGCAGAGGCAGGATTTCCCCCAAGTCTGTCTGGCTCCAGTACAATACAATCAGACCTCTTAGTGATAGCCATGGACCCAAGAATTACCTTTGTCCTCATTCCAGATCCCAAAGCCTCACACCACCCAATTTCCCAGGAGACTAATCCCCTCCCCCCAGATTGGGTCTCACCTGTGTCCTGGGAGCTGAGAGGTACCTGGGGCCAGGAAGAAGCCTCCTCGGTCTGCCAACCCTCTGGGCAGGCCATGGCCTGTGGAGAGAAGCACGGAGTTTCCATTAACCCTGGAGACCCTGAGAGGAGAAGGGGGAGAAGCCAGGCAGGGTGGAGGAAAGGAGGGGAGGGGAAGACTGACTAGGAGGTACACAGAAGCACCCCCCCTTCCCATCCTCCTGCCCAGGAGACAATGGCACCAGTCTGGACTCTCAGTCAGAAAAGAAATCCTTCGTGAGAGAAACACTACATCCTAGGAACGTTGGTGCTAGGCCCTGGGAATCACTGGGTTCATGCTCCTCTTTGTACAGATGGAAAAGGTGGGGCCCAGAGAGGGAAGGAAGTGACCTACCCAAGGTTGCACAGGGTGTGTGGCAGGGCTTGGGCCAGATCCGAAGTGTCCTGACTCCCAGGCCAATGCTCTGTCCACACAAGATGCTGCAGATGGGGCAAGATCAACCACGTCCCTTGAGGAATTCTTAGGGAGAGAGGAAATGGAGAGGAGAGAGGTTTGACCCGAGAGAAATTGCCTCCAGGGCCTTTCCCACATCCAAAAGGCCTCTAGTTTTCTCTGCCCCCATCCTTCTCCCTCCAGTCCACCCAGCTGGCCCTGCCTCTAGGGGCCCCAGCCCAAGGAGAGGCTGTTATAGGGAGGCGACAGGCCCCAGGCACTGGGCTGGGCTCTACCATCCCAGAACTCAAGCAAAACCCAGCTCCAAAGATGGTGATCACAGGCCTCCCTCTCAGGCCCCTACAGCAAGAAGGTCCTGAGAGAATGCACCTCCACAGGACATAGCTAAGCACCCAACACTGGGGACCTGGCCGGCCTATGGGTTGAGGGGATTTCAATCAGTACTCAGGGAGCTCCTCTGATCTCGGGGTTTAGGTATGAGCACTGCTCTGGCTAATAGTTCTCTATTGTTCTGTGGGATTAGGGAGATTAGAAAGTTACAGCCCCGGCTATGCCATCTTGTGCCACCTTATCTCTTAGGCAGAGGTCTCTGTGGGAGAACTGTGCTCCCTACTGTCCCCACCCTAGCTGATACGAAGGATCCCTGCCATTGTCATATGGGCCTGATCTACTGATGAGGGGCGGTGGGGGAGAATGAGAGATGGTGAGTTCAAAGTAACAAAATGCTGAAATCTCTCAAGAAAAGAGCGGGTGGGACTACTAAAACAGACATCTCCCCATTAGGGGAAGAGGTCACTCTTGCAGGCTGACCCCTGCCCTGTTACAGCTGGGAATGCTTTGGAAGTAGGAAGGGCAGAATCTGAGAATGGCCTGGAACAGGCTGCAACTGGAGGAGCTGTTTGTTCTCCAAATGTACTCAGATGTAGTCCTTTGGGGTTGGCTAGATGGAGGCATTCGTGGCCTTAATCTCCATGATATTCAGGTGCCATCAAAAGCCAAACCCATTGCTGTCGAGTTGATTCCGACTCATAGTGACCCTGTAAGACAGAGTAGAACTGCCCCATTGGGTTTCCAAGGAGCAGCTGGTGGATTCCAACTGCTGACCTTTTGGTTAGCAGCCGTAGCTCCTAACCACTGAGCTACCAGGGCTCCCAAGTGACATCATGGCATCAATAATATTTCCTGTAACTCTGAAGGCCAAACCAGTCCTTATTTTCTGCTATATTATCCCAGGATCCCAAAAGACCCCAGCATCTGAGAAGAGCATTCTGGGCCTGGAGACCCCAGAAGAAGGCCCTCCCCGTCTGCGCTGCCCTGAACAGCCTGGGTGGGTTCCCAGGACTCGCCTTACCTCACTCTCCACCTGGCCCGGAAGTGCTGCAGGAGACCCCTCGGTGATGCCCTCTGTGGCCCAGGAGAGGGAATGTACTTTGTAGATGGGCACAGGGACCGGAGGGGCGGTGTGCCCACTGGAATCATCTGTGCCGTCCCCCAAATCTGGCTCACTTCCCAGCTTCCAGGGAACGTAACCTCCTGGGAGGGGGGGCTCCTGGGTCTGTGGGTGCTCAGGCTCAGTCCTCCCATCCACAAGGGTGTCTGGGAACCTCCAGGAAACATGCTCTCCGGAAGCGCTGGTCTCCGAGCCCGGGCTCTCCAGGAAGAGGGGGTTGTCGAAGAACAGACTCTCCTCCTCGGCACCCCATTCCGGAGAAGAGCCTGGCATTCCCTCCCTCAGCCACCCCTGGCTCTCCCCCTCAGGCCTGCTGATGTCTTCCCGTGAGTCCTCCTCCATGGGTGGGGACCTTGGCTGGGGGCCTGAGTCCGGGGGACTCACTGGGCTGGAGGGGAAGCGGGGTAGATCTGCAGGGGCCGTGGGGAGGCAGCATCTCAGCTCAGCCCTGAGCCCTTCCGTCTTCTCCAGCTCCTCCTCCAGGTCAAGGACGCACATCTGGGCCTGCAGGATGCCAGCCCAGAACATGACCTGGGCGGAAGTGCTCTGGCTCTGCTGTGGGCTCCCCAGAGGATGGCTGGCTCCAGGAGACCCAGGGGGTGTTGTTCTCTGCCTGTGCTCCCCTTGGGAAGAGCAGCTCTCCAGATGCACGGGCTCTGTGTCAGGGCCCCTGGGGGCATCTTGCCCCTTGGAATCAGGAGGGTCAAAGGCCCAGGTCTGCTCCCTGCAAGGTCCAGGAGATTCAGGGTGGCTGCTCGGTTCCCTCGAGGGCACTCCTGGGCTGGGCTGCAGGTTGTCTTCCAAATAGATGTCGAGAAATTCCGTGGATTTGGGGTGGTCAGAAAGTCTGTCGTCACCCATCATCCAAAGAGCGAAAGCTGCACAGGAGCCCCCAGAAGTGTCTGCCTTCACAATCCCATTGTGTAGATTAGGGTGCGTGCTGGCCAGGGGAGTCGCTGGGGATCCATATCTACCCTGGAAATGCCCAGAGCAAGTCAAGAGGCTGTCAAGGCTAGGCGGCACCTGCCCCAAAGACAGTCCATCTTTTGGCTGAAGTGGCTTAGCGGAAAAGGATGAACTAGCCAAATCAGACCCTTCTCTTGGGAATTTGGATTGCAGAACTGAGAGACTGTGGTGTTGGCAGAAGGTGAAAATGCCCCAAAGCTGTGTGACAGCAGTGGCAAGCCACAAACTACATGCAAACTAAAGTATGTGGGAGCTAAAAAGACATAGACTAGAGGCAAGGAGAATGGAACAGACCCACCGGAGAAGCAGGCACCCGGGAAAGGAAGACTGCACACGGTCCGACTGTCACTGCCCAGGGCTCCTGTCCTGGGGCGTGCCCCACTCACACAGCTAGCCTGCCTGTTTCTTGTGAGCAGTGACAGCCGTGCAGCTTGGCCAGGGTGGGAGCAGGGGCTCAGCAAGGCAAGCCCCGGCCTCGTGGAGCGAGGGCACCTCAGCCCTGCCGCCCCGCCACCGCGCAAGCCACGTGCTGCACAGAGAAGAGGTCCCTGCCTTGTGTGCGTGTTGGGGGGCATGCTGGTGACAGGACGCCATGGCGGCCCAGAGCAGCATCATTGCAGCCTATCAACTCAGAGCTGCCCTGTGCACTGGCCACACTCTGGTGGGGTGGGGGCCCCCTAGAAGCAAACAAGGAAGCCGGCAGTTATTTTCTCTAAACACGCTGCACCATATGGACCCACGGTGTCCATGGCTCTCAGGGTTCAGGGCCAGGAGGGCCTGCTTCTTCAGAACAACCTGCTTGTTTTTATCCAATGGACACTGGGGAACTCAGAACCCAACCCGTTTCCTTCTTGGTGTAGGCTGTCAGAAACTGCAGGGTTATACCTCTAGCAAGTACACAGGCCCTTATGTCATGTATTTCTAGTATTAAATGTACCCTTGGCTTCATCATATTTTTTTCTTGTTTTCACTTTCTTCACTTACAGTCTTGAAGAACTGTGTGTGTGTGTAAGTTTTATCTAAATATTTTTGGCAGCAAGGGTATGAACACACACACATGCTCATAACTTATAACCATATGTGATGTCCAGATACCCAAGACAACAGTCCTTTCCGCACGTACAGTTAGCCCAGCTCCTCTTTAGCCACCACCCATCCAACCGCACAACAGCCCTGGGAGGTCAGCAAAACCAAAACACCAAGCCCATTGTCATCAAGTCGATTCTGACTCATGGTAACCCCATGTGTTAAAGAGTAGAACTATTCCATAGGGTTTTCAACAACTGTAATCTTACAGTAGCAGATAACCAGTTTTTTCTTCTGTAGCACTGGTGGGTGGATTAGAACCAGCAACCGTTTGGTTAATAGTTGAGTGCAAACCATTTGTGTTACCCAGGTGCCTGGAAGGTAAGCAGGCACTGGACTTGTCCCTGATGTCACAGACAAGGAAGCCAACAATGAGACTGGTCTAAAAATCCACAGGTGGTAATAGAAGGGCCTGGATCTGACCCCAGACCACCCGACCTCCAGTCTGTGGCTCTTCTTAAACCCAGCTCTGCCTCAGGCACCCACAGCAGCCGAGTTCTGCTGTAGGTGTCTCGGCCTCTAACATGGACAGAGTGCTGCCCCAGTAGCTTTTCTCAGCACCAGACCCCCCTCACCAGCATCACCCCCAATTGAGGTCCTGACACAAGCAGGTTGTAGGAGGACCATGCCCTGTCCTAGCCTATCAGCCTGACCAGCACACATAAAAGGCCCACGGGGACGATTCCTCTGTGCCCACAGTAGAGTGAGCAGCTGAATGAATGACCAAACAGGTGTGAGCTCAAGCCCTCACCCAGCCACTTTCCAGCTGAGGGAGTGAACCTGGGAAGTTACTTAGCCTCTCGGAGCCCAACCCCAGAGGTGTGCTGGGGGTGAACCGGGATGAATTGTGTCCAGCATTCAGCCCAGGCTTGGCACACTGTTTGACACCCAATAAATGGTAACCCTCACAGCTTTTAAACCAAGGTCAAACCAAGGTCAGGTGGGCTCTACCTATTGTTTAAAGTCACATGGAAAATATCGCTTTGCCCTATGCCTTCTGTCAAGAGAGTGCCCAAGAGAAATGAGGCAGTACCATGGCGAACTCCAGAGTCCCTGGGTTAATGCACTCGGCTGCAACATCCTGGTTCCCAATCACCCTCCCCAGGCCTGCCTGGTGGAGAAGAACCAAAGTCAGCAAGGAGGTGAAACACCCCATCACTCCAGCCTCCTCCAGTAACCAGCTCATACTGCTGTTGTTGTATGCTGTCAGTCAATTCCAACTCAGAGCAACCCTACAGGACAGAACAGAACTGCCCCATAGGGTTTCCTAGGCTTAAACTTTACAGGGGCAGATCGCCAGGTCTCTTCTACAGAGCCACTGGATAGGTTCAAAGTACTGACCTTTCGGTTAGCAGCCATGCCTTAACCTTTGCGCCACCAGGGCTCCTCAACCAGCCCATAAGGTTCAAGAAATGACTGGGAAGGCCTCTCCATTAGTAGCTAGGGTGAGAGGTGGGGAGAAGCACCAGGTTTACAGGTTAACCAAGCCCTCACCGATGGCCTCCTTTCCCAAACCCCAAGCCCCACTTCCCTTGCCTCCTCCCATCCCGTCTATTTGTACCAAGCTGTCTCCTCTCCATGACCCCTTCTCCTGTCCTCACCCCCCACACTTCCACACATTGTATCTGAATGTGCGCCCACCTTGGAGCACGTTCCTGTGGGCGTCAGGAATACATCAACTCGCCACTCTCATTAGTGAACTCACCTGACAGGAAAAAGCCCACCTGCCTGCCAATAATCGGATGAGAACGGTGGGAGGAGCCGGGGCCAGGATGGAGTTCAGTGCTCAGGGGTCCTTCTTTGCAAATATGAACTTATGAATTAATATGTATATGTAAATAAAGCAGTGATACCGGCAAATGTTAATGACTATGCTAGACAATGAGTATTGAATTTACCTTCCCAGAAGAAGCCAGGTGTTCCTTACTGGATTCAGAGGGGAAAAAAAAACAGAGGAGCTACAGCGGCTTTCCTCGGGAGTCCCTGGGTGGTGCAATTTGGCTGCTAACTGAAAGGTTGGAGGTTCAAGTCCACCAAGACGCACCTCAGAAGAAAAAGGCCTGGTAATCTACCTCCGAAAAATCAGCCACTGAAAACCCTATGGAGCACCGTTCTACTCTGACACACATGGGGGGGCGAGGAGCAGGAATACTGGGAGAGTCTGAAGAGCCTGAAAGGGGAAGGGTGAGGACTGGAAAACGAAGAGCTGCCCAAGGTGATGACAGAAGGAAAGGGGCAGCATTCGACGGGGGCCACAGTAGGCAGTCTGACTGAGCCACGACGCTTGAAATCAACTGAACTCAACCTGACTACATTCCATCCCTCACGCTCAGTCCAGAGCATTTATCGCAACGTGTAATCATCCTGTGCCTCTACTAACATGATCTAGTTTGCCTCCCCTCGCTAGACTGTAAGTGCCAGGAAGGCAGGTTCTTTGGGCTTCTCCTTCAATGCTGTGTCTCAGTAAATAAATATGAATGGCTTAATCCCTTTATGTGACTCACTTTGTTATAACCACTTCTATCTACAAAATTCTGGGAGGCATATGGTTATACTTTAATTCAAGTGGATTAAAAAGTTGGCTTGAGAACTTCAGGGCCACCCACGAGACACCTGTGGCTACAGAGCCTGGTGGGAGATGGTCCCAGGTTCAGGCAGTCAGCTCCACACAGTGGCACCCAACCTCATGGAAGGGTTGCCAGATTTAGCAAACAAAAATGCAGGGTGCTTGATATTTGGGACATACTTGTACTGAACATTTGTTTATCTGAAATTCAAATTTCAGTGGACATTCTATATTTTCTCTGGCAATGCAGCCCCATGGAGAACGTATTAATAGTGCAGTGAGCCCCGGCAATATGCCAGCTATAGAACTCGGTGCTTTATGGCCCTGAGCTCATCTATCCTGCCAACCACCCCACAAAGGAGACAAGTGGTAACATCCCCTTCTTACTCAATAGGAAGCTAAGACTCAGAGCATTTCAGAAACTTGCCCAAGGCAGCTCAGCTAGTAAGTGCAGGACCTGGGTCTTGAACCCAAGTCTGCTACTCTCTTCAGTACCACTCTCTCCGAAGGCCCACAGATTAACTCTGTGAGTGCTCCAGAATTCCTTGTGAAGCAGTCACTCTGATTCATCGGTTTTCCCTTTGTCCAGTGCAGTGTCTATTTGGTTCAGAGGTGACATTCGGGAAAAGTTTGTGAAAATTAAGAGGAGAGATGAATGAATGAATGAATGGGATGAACCCCCAGAAAGCCCCCTCCTCAACAACCTGACTAGAGGACTGGGGAGACAGAGGCTTGGGGAAGAAGAATTAACATCGTAATAGCATTATGGCTCCCTCCTGAGGGCCAGTCTGCCTATCAGCCAGTCATCCCTTCCTCCCCAGAAGCCCAGTGCCCTGAGGGCAATGCTCTCCCTGACACCCCAAGGTGGGCCCCTGCTAGCACCACAGCCAAAATGCCCGCACGGGCTCTGGTTCCCAGGCAGCAGCCCAAACAGAGTGGAAGAAACTTGCAGAAATCTATTCAATTTTCTTCTTTGTGCTCCTCGCTTGTGTAGAGAACGCTCTGTGTTTAAGAGACTTTTTGTTTTTGTTTTCCAGTGCTCTTCCCTAAATGGGGGTGGGGTAGGGGGTAGGAGAAGTTGGGGGGGATGACCTGAAGGGTGAAGTCACTTCTTGTGGCCATCAAGGCAGTCCCACCAGTCCCCTGGGTAAGGGCAGCCTGGTCTGGGAAGGATCAAAGGGTGGAGACCAACCTGTATCACGGACAGGTGGGCCAGGAATTGGGAAGCAGAGCCCTGGTCTTACGCATCTAGAATTTTCTGGTTTGCCTCCACGAGCACCGCCCCCACCCTGCCCCACTCCTGGTGTTTAGCAGTATCTCTTTTGAAATTCCTGTCTCAGGGAATTCCTGGGTGGCGCAAACAGTAAGTGCTCTACTGCTAACTGAAAAGTTGTAGGTTTGAGTTCACCCAGAGGTGCTTCGAAAGACAGGCCTGGTGATCTACTTCTGAAAAATCAGGCACTGAAAACCCCATGAAGCACAGTTCTACTCTGACACATGAGGTCGCCATGAGTGGAGTCCACTGGGCGGAGACTGGTTATCTGCCTCAGGTGTCCTAACCAGAACAAGAGAGCGGGAAGAGAATCAGCAATAAAAGGGACTTGCCACGCGCCTCATAATTCTAAAATAAAATGGCCCTTCATTTCTCTAAGCACCACGATGACTCAGACAGTTTAAGGTTAAGCTCTGAGCAGAGTGGAATGGCTCTGCATAATCCAGAAAAATGATCTGGAACTTCAGGAGAGAGTGAGGAGAGTAAGCTGGAAGACAGCTGAGGTGGGGGGAAGAGGTGGTGCCACTCCATTGTGGAACCTCCCTGGGGACCCGCTTCATCCTGACCACAGCTGACTACTTTTCATGGAATTTTCACCCTGGAGGGGTTTCTCATGGAGCACACTGGCTGGGCTGAGCTTTGTATCCTAGCTGATGGGGGATCAAGGGCTCTGAAACTAAGGGCTGTGGGACCTAGAAGACATAAGTCTCTCCCACGTCCACCCACACCCACCCTGGGGCTTCAAGGCAATTTCTTGTCTATCCTATGGGACAGGAGGAGCCCAGTTGACACCTGGATTGTACTTTTTAGAAACAGGTTTGGTTTTGCCCTTGTTTTTTCGCCTTGCCAGGCCCTTGGGGATGCAGCCTCGTACTCTGGCTAAAGAACAGGAGGCCCTGGCACCTTGGCAGGGCACAGCCTGCCCTGGGGAAGGAAGGTGGCACCTTTGGCATCCTGTACTCCTGCCCTCCAGGGCCCTCTTTAGGATGATGGTTAAGACACAGACTTGGGGGCTCACAGACTAGACTCCAATCCTGAGTCTACAATTGATGAGCCATGTGACTCTAGGTCAAATACTTAACCTGCTTCCTTATCTGTAAGAGAAGGAAAAAAGATCAAGTAAAGCTACTGTGCAGGCTTGTTATAAATAGGAATGGGTCTGTGAGTGCAAATGCTGGGCCTGGCCCTTGGCAGGTGCTCAAAAAATAGTATATCCTTCTCAGTTTAAATCTGCTGCTTTGCAGGTCAGGTCAGAGAAGCCGAAATGAACAAAAACGAACACACAAACCAAAAGCCGTCAGCCGTGCCTCAGCCCATTGGTGCCCTGAGCTCTCGGCTCCACGAGAAGGCTGCCCTCAGCCTCTCATTCCAGAGTGCCTGTTTCTCTGTCTCTGTCTCTCTTTCTCTGTGTCTCCTTCACGCCCCCTTTATGCTTCCAGACTCAGCAAGCAAGCATTGCTTCCTTGTACCCTTGACATTTTTTACTTCCTGTGGAAAAGGTATGAAGGCTTCTGGCCTATTAAGGGATACAAGTGGTGGCCACCCTGTCCCCACAGAGCCGAGGCAGGGGATGGGTCAGGTGTGTTTGCTCCTGAGGGCAGGAACCACAGGTGGCCCAACCTTCCCCAGTCTGAAGTCCCGGGGCAGAAGCCCCTGCCTGAACCTGGGCCCGCAGCACCGTGAGAGAAGTGAGTACAGGAAGCCCCACATCCTGCCCACACCGGAAGGAGCCTTCATGAAAATGTGCAGAGAGGCCAGTGGTGCTGAGGCCCTGTGGTATGAGGCCGGACTGGGCTCAGGCCTGAGGGAGAAAGGAGAGGGCAGAGATGATGGGAGGAGAGGTGCCACCCAAGGGCGGCTGCTACAGTGAAGGACAAGGGCCATCAGGAGGGGTCACCCTCCATCCTTACTACGCCTCCCTCATCCCTTCCTTGGACCTTTCACCTTCCTGCTGCAGAGAGCTCAGCTGCCCAGGTTTCAATCCCTATGCTGGGTGCCTTCCTTATCTGCAGAAGAGGAGCTATGTGATGCTCTGGTGCCCCAGGAGGTGGGCGAGACAGTCCTGTTTGGGGTTCATGCCTTTACAGCTGGTGAAGGTACCACAGTGCTGGGGGCACTCATCATCAGCTGAAGGCAGTTACCCTTCCCAGCATTTTGGCAGAGGGACTCCAACTGGGGGATTTTGGATTTCAGGCCCAAGAGAAAGGGGGTGTTTGGAGGCAATGGGTGGGAGTCTTTCCTCTCCTTGGCTCCCTTCACCACAAGGATAACAAATAGGGACACTCTGCAGAGTGGCATGGGTGCTGTCAATAAACACACTGGGACAATAAGCTTAAACCAGAGCTGTCCTGGCAGACCAGCCAGCAGGGTTCCCTACAGCCAAATGGAGCCTCTGGGTGGGGCCTACAAGGCAAAGTGAAGCTGGGTGCTCCGTAACGGCCGAGTCTGAGTCTAACCTGCTCCTACAGTTACGACACTCAAACCTGCCCACCAGCTCCCTCCAATCCCTGGCCAGTCTGGCCTCCCTCCATCCCTTGAGGGTCTGAGGTGAAGTCTCCCTGGGGAGGGTCTGGGGTGGGGCCTCTGGCCATGAAAGGCCCCATGGGTACTCTGCCACAGCAGTTTCAAGGGCCCACAGCAGGCCCTTCTTCCTTCACGACTGAAGACTCTGGGAAGGCAGACCACTGAGGTGAGTGGAGGCCAGAGCACGGAATCTGAGAAAGGGCCAGACTGGGAGGGGAAGTAGACTGCCGCAAGAGGGGTCAGAGCGAAGGAAAGGGCAGGGCAGGGGTTCCAGCACAGGGCCAGGCTCACAGTTAGTGTGAAGGCACGCAGTAGGGCATATACGCGGCCCACAGAGCCCTCGCCACCTTCCTGCCCACCTGCCCTCTGCCACGAGGGCCCACACATGGCCTTCCAAAGACTGCTTCCCCCAGGTCCCTCCCAGCCCCTGCCCCAAGCTCACCTCTGAAGGGCCCAGGAAGGGATGAGCTAGCCTAGGCGCCCCAGGAGCAGCCCCTGCTGCACAGTCCGTCCGCCCTTTGAATGTGGCAGCTCGAGCTTCCGACTTCCGCTCCCCCCTCACCACCACTACACACACCCCTCCCCGCTCAGCTGCCTCCCCAGGCTCCTAGCTGCTCTGTACCTCACACTTCCTGCCCACAAGACAGGAGTCTCCACTCTCAGGTCCAGGCCTCCTGGTTCCCTTCCCTATGCCCCTGCTCCCTGGAGGTCCCCCAACCCTGCTCGGCACCAAGTCCACAAAGAATCCTCTATGGACTGCCCTCCTCACACAGTCAAGGCCTGGGAGAGAGAAAGGGGAAGGTGCATCGTCCTGGACTGTGAATAGGCCCCACCTCCTTCCTCTCTGTGGTTCTGTGTCACTGGGTTTTCATCTCTGCTCCAGCTCTCTGCCCCTTGCAGCACACCCTGTGGGAGACAGGGGCCTCCAGGTCAGGTAACTTTTCTTTTTCTGCTTTTAGCAAAGAGCATTTCCATTTTTGCGTGGCTGTGTCTCACGTCAGTAATGACAGCTGGCACATTTGCTCTGTAGCTTACGAAGTGTCCCCAGTAGCATCTCAATCACTCCTCACCTACTTTAAGAAGCATTAGCATACCGTTAGATAGACAGGGAAGCAGGCGTAGAGAGCTGAAGGCACTCACTGCTTGGGGCTGTGCACCTGGGAAGTCACAAAGCTGGGTTGGAGCTCAGAGCCTCTGATCACAAAAACCCGCTGTCATCCACACCCCATGGCTGAATTCCATGGGGTACAGGCCGAAGGCATACACAAGTGTGAGACTGATGCTGGTGAGAAGTCACACTCACTGTTCCATTCTCTTCTCCTCAACACAATCTACTCCAGCTGCAACTACCACCTACTTCTCCGCTGAGGATCCAGTGGCCCCTGCCCTGCCCCAAGCTCCAGTCCACTGACCAGGAGACTCCACCATCACTGCTAAGAGACTGCATGTCTCACAGCAGCAATGCCTTTAGATCCAGGCAACCCAGGCCCATCTTCTAGAGGTAAACACTTAGCTACTGTCTTAGTCATCTAGTGCTGCTATAACAGAAATACCACAAGTGGATGGCTTTAACAAAGAGAAATTTATTCTCACAGCCTAGGAGACTAGAAGTCCAAATTCAGGGCACCAGCTCCAGGGGAAAGTTTTCTGTCTCTGTTGGCTCTGGGGGAGGTCCTTGTCATCAATCTTCCCCAGGTTCAAAGGACGTGCTATTTTTCTGGCTCTTGTTTCTTGGTCATATGCAGTTCCCCTGTCTCTCTGTTTGCTTCTCTCTTTTATATCTCAAAAAAAATTGACTCTAGACACAACCTAATCTTGTAGATTGAGTCCTGCCTCATTAACAAAACTGCCTCTAATCCTGCCTCATTAACATCATAGAAGCAAGATTTACAACACATAAGAAAATCATACCAGATGACAAAATGGTGGACAATCACACAATAGTGAGAATCACAGCCTATCCAAGTTGACACACATTTTTGGGGAACACAATTGAATCCATAACAGCTACCTACTGAAAGGTTGGCAGTTCAATTCCATCCAGACATGCCCTGGAAGAAAGGTCTGGCAATCTACTTCTGAAAGAGCACAACCATTGAAAGCCCCATGGAGCACAGTTCTACTCTGTAACATATGAGTCGGAACTGACTCCATGGCAACTTGCTTTTTTTTTTTTTTTTTTACTTTAGTTCTAGCCCTCCTCCAGCTGAACCCTTCCCCACGGAGTGAGGCATCCACAGGGCCCCAGAGACATGCCTACCTGAAGCCCACACACCCCTTTCTAGTATCCTACAGTTTGCTTCCTGGGTCTGCTTCCAGGGCCCGTAGGCTTCTCTCCCGCGGGTGCACTGCACTGTCGCCTCGCGGCCCTCAACGTGTGCTGAGAGTGCAGGGAGAGAAGAGCGCCCAGGGCCCTTGTCTGGAGGCTCCAGCACTGAAAGGTCGGATGGAAGAGGAGGAGTCTGCGAAGGAGTCAGATAAGGGGTTGTCAAGGAGGTGACAGCCCCATGGAGAGTGTGGTGTCACAGAAGACAAGAGACATTGTTGTAGATGGAAGTGGTCGGCTGTCAAACCTCCTGAAAAGTCTAGTCAGATAAGAGGAGAAAAGCGATCAGCAAATGAGGCAACAGAGAAGAGCGGTATGGGCGGCACGAAAGGGCAGAAGGCAGGAGACCAGGGGGTGAGGACTAAATAGGTGAGACTTGAGGTCAGCTTTGCTCTTCACCTCCTCGACTCTGGTCTTTCTCCCTACAGTCCAGCCTTCACACCACTGCACTTACTCGCCCACCTGGCTCCCCATGGTCTGTCTCCCTCCCCAGCCCAGGCTCTCTCTCCTCCACCTTTCCGTAAGTCCTCATCTATCTTCACACAGCTGTTTGTTTACGGGTCTTTATCCTCCATTCAACTGTCAACTTCTCAAGAGCAAGGATTGGTCCATTCTTCCATATATCTACCCTGCCTGTGTCGCACAGTGCTTGGCTCATAATTGGTCGATAAGTATTTGATGAATGAGTGAGTAAAAGCTGCTCATCTCCTCTTCCTTGACCACTTCAAGACAATACTATGGAAAGTGGAACCCGGCCCTTTCCTTCCAGTCAGTGGGTCTTGTGTGTGTACGCTGTGTATGTGTTGGGGTTTGGAGGTGGCATGTGTTAGGGAGTGGTTCCTGCTAACACTAAACTTCAAGAAGAACCTCTCCAACCCCTGGAGTCTCCAGCTGTAGTCCATCCCAAACAACTTCCAGCAACTTCCCCAAGACAGCATGAGCAAACCTCTGAATGAAGGGATCCCTGGGTACAGGCAACAGGAGCCTCTGGCTTGGGAGAGTGCTATGGCTTGAATGAGGGCAGGGGAAGGGAAGCTGGCTCCTGCCCCCAGAGTCCCTGCCAGTGATGAGCTTTGATCTTCTATGACCAACCTCCATCCTGGGACTCCCATCCAGTCAACTGTCCCCCTCTCCAAGGCCCAAAAGACCTGCTGCTGCCAGACATACAGCTTCCTGCCCTGACCCCAAGGAAGGCAGGCACCACAGCCCACAGGCACGTGGCACTGCCAGGCAGGCCCTTCCTGCCTTCCTCAAGGTGAGCTACTTCCTCTTTGCCCGCAGAGGGAGCTGTTCAGCACAGGTGGGGACTGAGCACCGAAGGGGGAATGGGGCCCACCTTCCAGGAGAGGAGCCCTGGGGATTTCAGCACAGAGTCTGCCTCTCCTGGGAGGCAAAGGAGAGACAGGAGGGGGCAGCAAGGGAAGGGGAGTGGGCATCTGATTTATAACTACCCTTTACTGAGGGCCCACCAGGGCTGGCACTCACCAGGCCCTTGCCAGACATTATCTCTAATCCCTATAGGTCTGAGGCTGGGCTGAGGTATTATTATGCTCATGCTACAGATGAGGATACTGAGGGTCAGAGTAGTTACACAAGCTCACATAGGCAGTAAATAGTAAAGCTGGGATTTGAACTAAGGACTGCTGAACTCCAACAAATATACTTTCTACTGTAACTGTTGCCATCCGCATACTGCAGCTATATCAACTGAGGCACGAAGTAGGCCTTCTTTGCAGGCAAGTGGTGGTACTAACAGGGTGAGCCTGAACTCACTTCTCCCAACTCAAAGCATAAAAACTCTTGAGGTGAAGGGGGCTCACCAGCATCCTCTCGAGGGTACTAGCTACAAAGCAGGTGAGAGAGGAGGCCCGAAGTCCCTCAGCGCGCCCCTGAATTTATATCTGTAAAAGTTCCCTCCTTTAGGAAAGGCTAGGAATAAGGTAGCCACATGCACCTTCTCCAGAGAAGGGTCAACAGGCCCGGGCCCTCAGGGAGCACAGACAGGAGAATATCTGCCTCCCTAAACATTCCTCTGCCTAGTTAGATATTTACAGTCCCATGAACAGATGGACTGTGGGCTGCCCTAGGAATGGAGCAGAGTTGGGAGGTCGGGCTAGGGAGAGGGCTTCCAATGACTAAGCACCTGGCAGAAGCCGAAGGCACCAACTTCCCCAACGTCTGCGGGCTTAGAATGGTACAGAGAAGGCCCTTAGAAGCAGGGCAAAGAGGAAAGGGAAAACAGTCCAGCAGTACAATCGTCGCCAACCTCCCAACACATGTGCGCGCACGCACGTACACACACACAACCAATGCAGCCCTTAGGTTCCTGGAGAAGAGCCGTAAGTGATTACAAAAGTGAAACATACACTTCTATCTCTTGAATGTAGTTGCCCAACCCCATGGAATGGGCACAGTGACCTGTGGAGCCATCCTGACCCGGCCTGCGGCCCGTCCAGGGTAAACACCCTGTGTCTGCGGACAGAGGCCCAGGAAGGCAGCCGGGCCACAGCTCGCGGGCTCTCTCTTGCCCCAGCACTAACTGCTGCCCCAGGCTTCCCTCCTCTTCTCTCCCAACACTGTGTTTTAGAGTCGCACTTTCCCTGCAGCCAGGAGTCACCGGTCTGTCCCTCCAAGTGACCACTGAGTAAGGCTCTATAGTCATTCACCTGCTATCTCCTAGCCCCCTGGGAGCCCAAAACACACCTCAAAAAATCTGCTGAAACACATGTGCATGCAATTATTTACAATGACAAAAATGTTCACAGCCTCAATGTCCACAATAGGGGACTGGATAATAAGTTACTGTATAGCCACAGGAGTGCTGTGAACAGTTAAGCAATCAACTGCTAGCGGAAATGTCGGTGGTTTAAACCCACCCAGAGGTATCTCGGAAGACAGGCCTGGTGAACTACTTCCAAAAGGTCACAGCCTTGAAAACCCTATGAAGCACAGCTCTACTCTGTACACATGGGACTGCCATGAGCTGGAGTCAACTCAATGGTAAAAAACAACAACAAGGCAACCTTTAAGTATGTTGTTTTTGAAGAGTATTTAATGAAGTGCAAAGATGCTCACAGTATATTACTGAGTAAAGAAACTAATCACAGTATATATTCAGTATGATCTCAATTTAAAAAAAAAATTTTTTTATGTCTTTAGGCAATAAAATACCAAAACATTGATAGTAGCTATATGTG